TATTGTAACCTTTTTGTTTTCAGTTTCTCTTTAGCCCTGCGTTTGCCTCTAGTTGTTCTTCTACATGCATGTATTGGTGGACAGAGCTAAACTGTCAGTGAAGTAGAATCAGATGTTGATCTGCAGAGTTTAGACACATTTTTGTTAAAAAAGCATATTCTACAACCTTTCATCTTGATCGGATTGTCTTCACTAAAGTTTTTTGACTAAAGTTTGGAGTTCTGAAACGTGCAGATAATACAATCCTATTTGTGAAATGATAAAGGTAATTTAGATTAGTCAGTTTGTGACCCCTTTAATTATAATATTTTTTTTTTTTTACAGCTAGAGCAAAAAGTCAAACTAAGCAAAGATATTAGTTTGATATCAATACCACAGAAAAAAGACAAAAAAGTGATCAATGCAGGCACTAGCTGTAGTGTTGCTGGCTGGGGAACAAAGAAGACTAATGGTCCAACCAGTGATTATCTACTGGAGGCAAAAGTGGAAATAATGGAAAACAAAAAGTGCCAAAAACTATGGAACAAACATGGTCCAAATTCAGATGTACAATACTCAGTCTCAAAGATGATGTGTACACATGGTCATGGTGGATCCTGCAAAGTATGTATAAAAAATATGACTCAGGGTTTATGTTAATGCATTTATTTATTTCACTACTGACATATTGATCTGTTTCTAAACAGGGGGATTCAGGAGGTCCTTTGGTTTGTGGAAACACTGCTGTTGGTGTCACATCCTTTGGAAATCCTGATGCCTGTAATTCACCTTTGCTTCCTAATGTGTATACTAAGATTTCAGCATATCTTGACTGGATTAAGAAAATAATTCGAAAGTTTAAGTAGATTAAATTTAAAAAGACAGACACGTTTTTACTTTAATTCTCACCTAAACATACATTCCCAGCACACATTTTTTGTTTTTAAAAGATGTTGAATAGATGTCTAATCATAGTCATCTTGGCAAACACAAGGATTAATTTGGGCTGTCAGTGAACATCTAATAGATGTCTAAGAATAGGCCAAAACTAGACTGTACACTGCAAAAAATAATATACCAAAATTAAGTGAGTTTTTCCTAAATCAAGCAAAATAATCTGCCAATGGGGTAAACAATATTTTTCTGCTTACCCCATTGGCAGATTATTTTGCCAATTTAGATTGATTTAGGGAAAAACTCACTTCATTTTGGGATATTATTTCTTATGAAAAAAGACAATATGTTTTGCTTGTCAAAAAATTGCTTCTTGATTTAAGAATTTGTAGATATTTGGACTAGAAACAAGTAAAAAAATCTAAGTAAGAAAAGCATTTTTTTTGCAGTGTAGTCATCAGATAAACAGAAAAGAAAGACTACACATATAAAGTCTATTTGACAACTAGTCTTGAGCTATTCTTAGATGTCCATTATATTTTCACCGACCCAAGTTTAGCCATGTTTAAGCCAAGCTGTTTACATTTAGATGACTATTAGACACTTAACAGCAAAATTGTTTGCTGCAGTTGCATTCGACCAAAGTGATCAGTGCACGATGTCAAAGTACTGAAAACAATACTTAAGCTTTTTGATTAGTTTCTTTCACCTTTTTTCCTATGCTTTCCTTTGTTGTAGCCAATCGTTTATTTTCATTTGTTTCATTGATTATGTTTATCTGTGTCTTAAGTTCATCAGATGTCTTGCAAATGTTTGGTATTTTCTTTGTAAATGTAAAAAGTCTGTTTTGTGCTTTTGATTAAATCACAGCTTCTGCATTTATATTGATACATATTCTCTTTCTTGTCTCACCTCTTGTAACAAACAAATAGCAGGCATTAACATAATATTCCAATCAGTTATTCAGCTTGTGTCGTGGTTATGCCTCAAAACATTATTTTTTTTTTTTTTTGTATTTAATTGCTTGTGTATTGAAATCACGTTTTCTTAAATCTGTCACGCTTTGGACAAAACTGCTACATCTTAAAAAGCACTCTTTTAAGCAAAATTAATTCCTGTTGCTCCTGATAATGCATAAAAAAAAAAAAAAACGTACTAAATCAAAACTTGCTTTTAGAGGACTACTTTAAAAATATCCTTCAGATTTTTAATAATATCTGTTTTTTTTAATGATTAGGGCTGCAAAATATATCGTTTTATCATCAATATTGCAATGTGCATATTTGCAATAGAGACATCGCAAAGATATGCAATGTTGAGTCTAAATTACAGTTGAGCTAGAACATTGTATTTAATTACTGTATTTACATGGAATTTATGTCAAATATATAAATATATATATATATATATATATATATATATATATATATATATATATATATATATAAAATTTACCATATTAGGTAGCCTGTTATGTTGGGTGTGCCCCGGAGTGACTAGGCCCACCCGGAATCAGCCCGCGCAGAATTCTGCTGTTTTTCAGTAGATTTTTAGCCCATCATTAATTCTGTTTATTTACTTGAGTAAATGTGTGTAAATCTATATTTAACCAGTTTTTAAATTAATTTCAGTAATAATATTGACTAATATGAAAATGTTCATCTGATTTATGTACAATGCAGTTTGTACAGTAATATTTTGTCTTTTACAAGATATATTATATGACAAACTTGCTTTATTTACCAAATAAAGTTAATCTAATTGGATTTGCATATTAAACAATAAATAAAAGTTAAAACGATATTATTTTTTATTTCATATGTTAAGGTTTCAGTTATGATACTCCCAAAATATTTCCACAGAAATCTGCTGATTTTTTACCAAAATTTTTAGCAGAAATAGCAAAAACGTCCGCAGATTCCGTCTGGCCCTAGGCATGGCTTAGATTGAAATTTAGCCTTCTGTAATATCAACACAATGTTTAAGCACTAATAAAACTGCAATAGAGGTAACTTTAGCAGGACACTATTTCAGTCATCAAGTGTAGACAGTAACCAGTGGCAAAAGCAAAAGTGGTTCCCTCTAAGCCTGACCTAATTGTTGTCCCTCCTCAAATACTTGGTACTTTTTATGCAACCCAAGCTCATTCTGAAACTGTAGTCCCGCGGATGTTTCTGGAATCATTCGGATGTTCAGTTCCAGAAATCAGGTAAGACAAAAACAGAATCTAAAAAATTAAGTGAACGAGTTTCGTGACAGGGTGAGAATGCGGCAAAATCCGAAAACGAGGTGGAATAAAAAAAAAAAAATTAGGGCTTTTATTTTTTTGGACGGCTTTTGTGAACTGTTGCTCGGGTTTAGGGAATCGAGCGGGCGGGCGGGTCGATCGGTAAAATTGGTTGGGTTTAGGGAAGGAGGAGGGCGAGTCGGCCAATTGGCCGGTCGCGCAGTCAATCATCCAAAAAGCGTATAACAGCGGTCTCTCGCGGAAACGCGAAAACAAAAACTTCAGCCGTACGTACCCGCCGGGACGTATTCCGCGGTCTCCAAAAACGTCCGCGGGACTACGTTTCCACAATGAGCCTGGGTTGTTCTTATGAGAAGGTGTGGAAAAAGAGAGAGTGTTATCGAGAGAAGAGAGTAGTGCTGTAGTGAGGAGAGTGGTGTTGTAACAAAGAGTGGTGTTGCAACTAGAGGAGTGGTGGTAACAGGAAGAGAAGTGAAGGAAGGCCTGACACACAAGGCTATCCGAATTCCTCAAAGACACAGTGGATTCACAGTGCTTTTTCCAAGGCTTCTGAAACCACAGGTTCAAGACTACCACCTCCAGAAATCTGCTTGTCTCAGATTTCCAGGAACTCTACGTTCAATGATAAAGACGATGGCGTGTCCCTGGCATCAGAACCACCACCTGCAGAAATCTCCAGTTCTGACTGTTCTAGAATCTACAGATTTCTTCTTCTCCAACCCAAGAGTACTAAATCTGCTCGTTTCAAGCTTCAAGGCCTGCAACAAGATCCAACTTCTTCCAACCACTGCATTAACGGCAAAAACAACCACCATCCCCAGAAATCTCCAGTTCTGCGTGTTCCAGAGTCTACAGATTTCTTCTTCTCAGAGCTCAAGAGAGCTAAATCTGCTCGTTCCATACTTCCAAACCTGCAAGAAGATCCAACTTCTTTCAACCACCGTATCAACGGCAGAAACAACAACCACCCCAGAAATCTCCAGTTCTGCATGTTTCAGAGTCTACAGATTTCTTCTTCTCAAAGATCCAACTTCCTTCAACCACCGCATCGACAGCAGAAATGTAAATATACCACTTTAATCCTCTAACCCACAACCCTCTAAGTAAGACCTTGGCATAGTGTGTTTTAGTATCAAATATTCTAATTAATTAGATGTTTATAACTGATTTTCATTAATAACAAAAACCTCCTCAGTTCATTGTTATTTTAGAATAAGGCTTACCTCACCTTAGCCTATGCACTTCATTTGTTGTACATTTAGTAATTGTAGTTACCCTTGTTTACTCTTTTGTTAATAAATACACATTTATTACAATTGTGTTTTCCTTGTGTTGATAAAACAGTAAAAGGCTCTACAAGTCAGATTATCTCATCCTACAGATTTGGCCAGATAATAAACTCTTCATTTGTATATTTTAAGTAACAATATTTCATTAGTATTTTTCTTTTTTCTTTTTTTTTTTCTTTTTTTTGACAGCAGAAGCTGTCTGGTGCCCCATTTAAAAGAAGTTATTTATCTGTTATTTCTACATTAACTGGTGCCCTCGTGCGAGGCTAAAATATCAATATTACTATTAATATCAAAATATTTATGTTAATATTTGAAAAATCCAATTATCTCTACATTAATTGGTGCCCTCGTGCAAGGCCAAAAATACCAATATACATACCAAAATATTAATGCTAACATATGTTATAAATCCAGAGATTTGGGTAGGCTCTGGGCCAGATCCAACTGACTAGACAGTTGAACCCCTCAGCTATCTTTCAATAGGATCTGGCCATGCTTCTAAGAAATGTTGCGTCATTTTTCAGTAGTGAAACCATTTTAATGAGAAAACAAGTGGGCAACACTGATTACAAGTTTCCGTACGCAAGTTTGTGGGTATGTGTGTGCGTGTTAGGGAGAGATCAAAGGGCAGGCTGTGGTTCGTTAAAAAATTAAATGACTTTAAAAATGAAGAGTAATTTAATCTAGTTTGTCATTGCTTGATCAATGACTTTGAGGTTTTGCTGCAGAAGCCCGCAAAGTAACAAGCTTTAGTTAAGTTTGGCCTTATTGGAATCACATTATGAATTAGTGGCTAATAATAAGCAGCTGTGTGGGAAATATTGAAGCCTGTGCAAACGTGCTACATTTTTATCATTTATCAGAATACAAAAGCGGAAGTATTAACAGGAACAGTATCTTTTCATCACTGCGTTACTCAAGCTGCAAGAAATGATATAAAGCTGAATGTCTCCACCTCCACCTGTGTCATTATATAGAGCGTTTTATCATTGCGAGCTCACTGATTGTCTTCAACATGACCCTCATCACCTTCTTTCTGCTCTTGCTGGTTTCTCTGCTGCCACACCTGACCTTCATGGGTGAGACTGACTATACAACACACGATTTTCACATTTGCGATTAATATTTAATGTGTTAATTCTCTCTTTCCCAGCTCATGTGGGTATAGTAAACGGCAGTGTAGCAAAACCTCACTCCAGACCTTACATGGTTTCTGTTCAGCTGGATGGTCAACATATCTGCGGTGGATTCCTCATTACTGAAGAGTTTGTCTTGACTGCTGCACATTGCTGGAATGGGTAAGAGTCTGTTTAGTTGGAACTTTGCTACATGAGTGGTATGGTATGATATAAATGAGCATAATGGCTTTCTATCACAACAGAGAAGAAAATCTGACGGTTGTGGTTGGTGCTCACGACTTAAGACAAAGTATGGCTTCAGATCGCATAGAAGTGGAGTCTTACATCCGCCATCCAAGCTATAACTCAAAATTTATTTGGAATGACATCATGGTTTTTAAGGTATCAACCTGTTATTGTACTTGTAGTATTATATATTTTTGACTTTATTAAAGTCCCTCCAGGATTTTGCGGAATTTTTTTAAATTTTGAATCTTTACATGACTGATTTTGCTACAGCTTTTTTTATTTATGGCAATATTAGCACCCTTATTTTGTGTTGATTTGCTGTAAAAATTATATATAATTTTATATAAAAATATTTTATTTTATATATATATACACACACACACACACACATATATATATATATATATATATATATATATATATATATATATATGTGTGTGTGTAACATATATATGTAACACATATATAAGTTTTGTAGCTTTAATTTAAAGGATACTGTATGTTTAGAAAAGATCTTGTAGCAGTATAAAAACTGTGTGTGCAGAAAAGCTCAAAGATCAAAATCCACTGAATCATTGCACAGGTAGTCTCTCATAAATATGTGAGGCCTGGAAGGGACATGATGGTGGGGAAAAAAATAAGTGAAGAAAAAAAATGGAGTGAAAGGAAAACTTTTTTTTACGTTTTTGTGTTCCATCGCAAAGATGTTTATGATATTTGTGTTACATATTAGTCAATTGATTAAAAAAAATTAACTAATTAATCGGATCTTTTTTTAAAAATTAATCGCTATTAATCGCGATTAATCGCATTTAAAATACTGAAACTTGTAATTTTGCCTGTTATTTAAATAAAATTTATGTAAACGCAAGAAAAAAATATTTAAATTCAAAATATTATTGTTTAATAGAATTTTTGTTTAACTTGTAACACAGATTTCTTCATGTAAACAACATACCCACAATAAACCATCAAGATCCTGGCTTGACAGCCATATTTTTTACAGAAATTAAAACACAGGCATGTTAATGACGTTTAAATTTCAAAACAACCAATGCCAATAAAGAAAACATTGATTTCCATGTTGGATTCTAAGTGGACTGCAAAAAAATGCCAAAATACAGGAATTGCAGATATGGAAAATGAAAAATTATAATAATAAACTATAGGATACAAACTGTTGCACTCATTGTAAAGTTTTATTGCTGTGAGTTGAGAACATTAATTATAGAGTAGAAACAATTTTGATTAATCCTCCTTTACATTCATCCAGTTGCTAAGACTAGGAGTATCCCGCAAATGCACAGAGACTCCCAAATGCCCGCAAATGAATGATAAATGCAAACCAGTCGTTAAATACATTGCACACCCCTCTCGCCCCTACTCAGATACGTCGCTCACTCCACCCCTGACACCCCTAAACGAGCCTGACACAGAAACACACACAGACAGACACACAACGCGCTGCATATGTTTTGGCCCCAACGGCCTTCCATACTGGAGCAACTCCCCTCGGATTCAACACGCATGATCACGTTCATCAAATTTGCTAAGCGTCCTAAACTAAGCGTCCTAAAGTATTACTGTATTTCGCAAGGATTCTGACACAACGCGAAGCATACGCTTTCGTTGCGTTTAATGAGGAAACACGCTAAACTTAGAGGGCTCATGCTGAAAGGCAGAGTAATGCCCTGTCTTTGACAGCTCGCGACTTCACCAGACGTTCTGAGTACATTTACATAAGACACCAATACTCCGATTTTAATATGATTAAGATAATACTCATATTAAAATTCTACCGTGTAGCCTTAAAATGAACCTTACCTTAAAGGAACACCGAGTCACGAAATGCGAAGGATTTTCTTTCTGTTCGCCATGCGGTATCAACTTACAACAGATGTCGAAAGTTAAAAATGAAACACCCGAAATTGCATGAAACTCTGGATAACTTGTGATGCAACTAATTGTTTTATACTGGAACTTGCCTTCATAAAATTCTTCCTTGGTCTTATCCACATTTATTGCATGTTTAACACACGTACAGGAAGTAAAAAAAACCTGAACTGCGTTAATTGCGTTAATTTTTTTAACACGTTAATTATTTAAAATTAATCACATGCGTTAACGCGTTAATTTTGACAGCGCTAGTTATTTCGTAAAGATGTTTTGTGTTATCTTGCAAAGATGTTTTGCGTTATCTCGAAAGATGTTTCGCATTACCTTGTAAAGATGTTTTGTGTTATCTCGTAAAGATATTTTGCGTTATCTCGCAAAGATGTTTGCGTTATTCCAAAGATAATTTGCATTATCTCGCAAAGATGTTTGCGTTATCTTGAAAAGATATTTTGTATTATCTTGCAAAGATGTTTTGCGATATCTCGTAATGATATTTTGCGTTATCTCGCAAAGATGTTTTGCGTTATCTCGTTAAGATAATTTGCGTTATCTCGCAAAGATGTTTGCGTTATCTCAAATATAATTTGCATTATCTCGCAAAGATGTTTGCGTTATCTTGTAAAGATATTTTGCATTATCTCGCAAATATGTTTTGCGTTATCTCGTAATGATATTTTGCGTTATCTCACAAAGATGCTTTACGTTATCTCGAAAAGATGTTTTGCGTTATCTTGTTAAAATGTTTTGCATTATCTCATAAAGATGTTTTGTGTTATCTCGTAAAAATGTTTTGCGTTATCTCGTAAAGATGTTTTGCATTATTTCGTAAAGATGTTTTGCGTTATCTCATAAAGATGCTTAGCGTTATCTCGCAAAGATGTTTTACATTATCTCCCAACACTTTCTGTTCACTTCATACATGTCAACCCTCCCAATTTTTCCCTCCCAGGATGGACATGTTTACATATTATTAAGTGTATTTGTTTGTTTAAACATACACCCAAATCCCATAGTGTCCTGCGATTTCGCTCATGTTTAAATGGTGTGTACAGAAGCTGATCTGGGATCAGTTTATCATACGGAGCGTGTCTGTCAGTCAGCGCTTTACATGCATTCGCTGATTCAGAGGTTGCATAGGAAGGGCGATGATCGACGCACAGCTTTAATGTAAAGATAGTGAATGCAGACATTTTAGATTAATTTCAGCATGCTTTCGATTAAAAATATATCAGAATAATGGAAAATAATTAATCATAGAATGATAGTGGGATAAAATGGTAAAATACAGAGAATTTCAGCTAAAACAGGAAGATTAACATGAATGAAATGAACAGGAAATGTTTGTGGAAAAACAGTTTTGCAAAATAATGCAAAATATCTTTGGGACCACAAATTTTATTTTTATTTTTTTTAATGTTTTCCTATCACTCTGTTTTTTCTTTTCTCCCGCCTATTTTTTTCCCCCATCATTACATCCCTTCCGGGTCTCCGTACATGAAGTTTACATGATAAAAAAAAAATAAATAAATAAAAAATACAATAAATAAATAAATAAATAAAAGTATTATTGTTGTTTTTACATTGAAGTTAAAATGATAATTTTTTCTTCTGGAGAAATTTAAAATTAAACTTACTTGTTTTATTTTGGCTAGAAACCACTGTAAATTCAATATTATTATCCCCTTAAGCAATATTTATTGTTTGATTATCTACAGAACAAACCATCATTAAACAATGACTTGTCTAATAATCCTAACTTGGCCAATTAACCTATTAAGCCTATAAATGTCACTTTAAGCTGCATACTGCAGTAGTTTCTTAATAATGTCAAATATTATGTGATGTCAACATACTCCTATTTATCATGCGCTGTCTTTTTCTGGTTTTATGCTGAGTTACAGACCACTTTTTAGGGATATACCGCCACCTCATGAAGTGTAAAGTCACGACTTAGTAAGGGTTGTTTGCATCCACATGGCTTTGTTTTGGGTGAATTTGTGTTATGATTACATCATAGAAAGCATATATATATATATATATATATATATATATATATATATATATATATATATATATAGCATATAGAATTTGCAGGAAATCCGCAACATTTTAGAAAAAAATGCAAGATCTGCAAAAATTTTGCAGCCCTTGCTAGATTTTGAGATAAATTCAGCGATCGCAAAATTGTGAAATACTGGAGGGACTAATATTAATAAATAAAGCATGTTTATGTACAGTGATTGTGTTCTTGACTTACAGCTAAAGGAAAGAGTCACACAAAACAGTTCCGTTGGATGGATCTCAATATCAAAGAAAAATGAACATGTCGATGCAAATACTCTCTGTAGTGTTGCTGGTTGGGGATTACTGACTAATGGCACACTGAGCGATTGTCTAATGGAGGCAAATGTGTATATAATAAGTAACACGGAATGTAAAAGTAAATGGGGACGGCACTTCTCAGTGTCGCAGATGATGTGCACACGTGGACATGGTGGATCCTGCAGAGTACGTACAAGAGATAATTGAATGTTTTCTTTGTTTATGAACTGATAGAGCACTTTAGTTACGTCTTGATCTTTGCTTCTTTACAGTATGACTCAGGAGGTCCTTTGGTTTGTGGAGACACTGCTGTTGGCATCACATCTTTTGGTGACCCTCATCTCTGTAATTCACCAAAACATCCTAATGTGTATACGAATATTTCAGCATACCGTCCATGGATTGACGGCGTAATAAAAATGGGAAATTAGATAACATCTTTAATTATTACAGAGCTTTCTAGAATACTTCTGATTGATCAGCCATGACAGTCCAAGGTATGTTATTCCGAGATAACATCCATTGAATAACACAGGCTCATTTGGGTACTTTCAATCATCTTGACCATCAGTGAATACATTCATATCAATATTTATATGCTTGCCTGTCGTGCTGCTGACTGAATTAAAGTGTATGCTCCATTCAGCCATTTTTGTTTCTCTAAGTTTTGCCTTTAATCTGAGATTTAATAAAGTATTATGGTTCAGAACAATGTTTTGTGTAACTTTTTTTGTTTTGTGGCAAGTATCTGTGCAATAAATGGCATAGATTAGGCGGTTGAGGCAGTTGTTTTCGCAGAGTAAAACCTTCGACAGTGCTTCTTTGCTGATAAGCCAGTGGGCTTTATTCTGTTATAACAACCACCTGGATGTACTTACATATGATCTCTTACATATTGTGTCATTAAAGTATCACATGCTAAACTCATATCCAAGTTTCTTTATTGTCATATACAGCAATGGTACAACAATTAAGAGGGAAGGATGTTGGGGGCGTTGGGAGTTGCAGTGGGTGTTCTGTGTTTGTCTAAGATAATCTACCGAACTGTGTATATTTCATACAAAGTACGAAGCTGATCTGTTAGTTCCTGTAACCTGACTCATGGTGGACTCACAGGATTCATTCAACTGGGTGTGTCTGGAAGGCGCGAGCATGTCATGCCTGTTGAGCGCAAGCATCGAACCTCCTTTGGAAATAACGAACTTGCGCAAACTCTAGAAAAGCAATATGCGAACAGCCCCTTAAAAGCCACTGTCATTTGAGATTTCCAGCAGTTGATCTTTTTGCAGAGACATGCTGTATTCACCTGATTTGTTGACAAAGTGGTTGCGGATCTATTGCTTAGCAGTTTGCAGAACCTTCACTGGACATTTTCCTCTTTGCAATAATAAAAAAAAAAAAAAAAAAAACTTCCCAAAGACATCTGTTTCTTACTCATTATTGGATTCGTATTCATTTCTTACTCATTTTGCTGCTTGTGGGTTGAATTTTGGTGCTCAAGTGACTGAGATGTAACCAAGAGAATACGGTCATTTTTCAAAATATAAGATTTTTCAAAATTAAAATGTTTGTTCAGACTCAGATTATAAATAAAACAGTAATGATTAATGATTTCTTGAACAGCCAGAAACCAATTGATCCATAAACTGGTACTGGTTCACAGCCCAGTGGTTGAGTACCACTGATACACAGTTGACGTCAAAATTATTAGCCCTCCTGAATGATTAGCCCTCCTTATATATTTCCCCAATTTCTGTTTGACAGAAATATTTTTTTAACACATTTCAAAACAATAGTTTTAATAACTGATTTATTTTATATTTGCCTTGATGACAGACAGTATATAATATTTTACTAGATCTTTTTCAAGACACTAGTATTTAGCTTAAAGTGCTTTTGAAGGCTTACGTAGGTTAATTAGGTTAGGTGAGTTAGGGTAATTAGGTAAGACATTGTATAATGATGGTTTGTTCTGTAGACCATTAAAAATACATATTAGGGGCTAATAATTTTGACTTTAAAATGGTTTTCAAAATGAAAAAAAAAAAAAAATTTACCTAAAATAAAACAAATAAGACTTTCTCCAGAAGATAACATATTAAAGAAAATCATTTGGGAAATATTTGAAAAGGAAAAAAAAAAAACAGGAGGGCTAATAAATTTGACTTCAACTGTACATAATTACATAGAGTTGGAAAAACAAATACTATGGGAGTAAATGGGTGGTAAAATTTGTCTGGTCACTGAACTCCTCACTGACATCGGTTCAGTATGGTACGGGTCACCTAGATTAGACTTTTGTTACTTGGTAGGCATGGTGTATGTTCGAAAGTAGCAATTAATGATCTAACATTAATTCAATTTCAATTAAATTCAGCTTTATTTGTATAGCGCTTTTACAATGTAGATTGTGTCAAAGCAGCTTCACATAAATGGTCATAGTAACTGGATCAGGGTAGTTCAGTTTTTTGTGTTTAAGTTCAGTTCAGTTTAGCTCAGTTCAGTGGGGTTTGAAGTCATTATTGAGAGTCCAAACACTGAAGAGCAAATTCATCGATAAGTAGCTTTTCAGATCCTGAACCATGCAAGCCAATTAAGAGCAAAGCCGTATGGGCTTTTCACATACTGCATATTTTACACACTCAAGTTAATTATTTCAAATGTAGATTCCCAAATAAAACTGAGGAAGCGGGACTCTCATGCTATCTAGACATGACATTTGATTGGCCCCGTAAACAGGGACTTACAGCAGATCCTATTCTTGTTTTTTGGCATGTGGCACTATTTTTACAAATAAACAGCACATTTGAAATCAGAATAATTACATTATTGCCTAAAAAAGTCTCAAAATACATCATGCAATCCAACAGCTGAAGTTTTTTTATCTAACTGTGAGTTTAGACCTCTACTTGGCACTCTCTACAGGTGGTGGTACACACCAGTGAACAGGCTGGAACAGTGCTACTGGAATATCTCACAGCTATCAGCCAATCAGACTCCAGAACTCTTGTATAAATACACACATCACAAAATTGCTCCAGTCACATGCTTGATTCCATTTAGAAACCAAATAAATGAAAGTCTTTGTTGATGCATTAAATAAATACTGTGAGATGCTATAAATGTACAGCTGTTATTTTAGAACTATCTTTATTGGCAAAACAGAACAAAACCAGCTAGACACAATTGTTCAAAATGAAGCTCACTTTGTACTTATATCTTGTATCGTAGGCTAATGATAAGTCACTTAAGATCAAATGCAGAGGTAACCCAGTCAGAGTCTATAAAATGAAACAGGGTTGCGCTATGAATACATCCCTTACATATTATGTATTTGCTGCAGTTCAAGAAATCCAATTCCACAATTTTCTTTGTATTCTGTTTTACCACCCATGTAATTATAGTGGCTATAAGTCAGTTTTAGGTTGTAAATCACTTTTTGTAGATCAGATACTTTTGTATTATTCATTATATACCAGTTTATGATACATAACTTTATGATGTGTAACAATGCCTTCCTGCGTGCTTAGTTTTTATCATTAAAGCCATCTGTGGCTTCACTGTGAAACCACTAAGATTTACAAGATCAAAACTTTAACATCATTGTACTTCTCAAGTCAAGACTTACCGGCAGCTCAATGTCTCTGGCTCCTCCCCTCTTTAGAGTATATTTATACAGAATATTATAATTGCGAGCCCACTGATTGTCTTTATCATGACCATCATCATAATCTCTCTGCTCCTGCTGGTTTCTCTGGTGCCGCACCTGACCTTCACTGGTGAGACTGACTATACAACAGATTATGCAGATATGCTGAAAATATTTGATTGGCATGTGCTAATTAAGTGGTAATTTAACTCTTTCTCAGCTCGTGTGGGTATAGTGAATGGCAAGGAGGCAAAACCTCACTCTAGACCTTACATGGTTTCTATTCAATTGAATGAAAAACATATCTGTGGTGGATTCCTCATTACTGAAGAGTTTGTCTTGACTGCTGCACATTGCTGGAAAAAGTAAGAGTTTTGTTTAATGTGAACTGAAATTCATAAAGCTTTTCAATGACACAGTAACTGCAACGATACAGCGTGTTAAATGGTCTAAATACACAATTATAATATGATTTTTCAACAGAAAGGAAGTGCAGACAGTTGTGGTTGGTGCCCATGATTTAAGTAAAACCAGAACTTTAAAACGCTACGGAGTGAAGTCCTACATCCCGCATCCAGACTATAGACCTAATCGGAATGACATTATGATTTTGAAGGTACCAAACTGTAATACCTGTAATTTTGGTTGTTCAAAATGTATTCAACCAGGAACCATGATACAAACCACTTCATGTTAAAATCTATTTCAAATGAGTTCATTTCTGATTGGCCTTTGGTGCTTCTGTAATGACCTCAAAGTCACCAGTAGTCTTACTATAATTAGTTGTGTTTTTGAATTGCAGATAGATAAAAAGGTCAAACTGAACAACAAGATTAAACCGATATCATTGCCAAGTGATGGTGAACATATTAAAGCAGGTGCTGACTGTAGTGTTGCCGGCTGGGGAGATTTGTGGATGAAAGGCCCACTGAGTGACCGTCTAATGGAAGCAAACGTGACTACAAAAAGTGACAAATACTGCCAAGATAAATGGGGATCTAAATATGTGCCCAAACATATGATCTGTGTTTATGGGCAAGGTGGATCCTGCAAAGTATGAACTCAAGATAATTCAGAACTGTTTATTTATTAACCAGTTTGTTTCACTGTTGACGTGTTTATCTGTGTTTGTTGACAGGGGGATTCAGGAGGTCCTTTGGTTTGTGGAAACACTGCAGTTGGTGTCACATCCTTTGGTAATGCAAGGGTTTGCAATAGTCCTGAACAACCTGAAGTTTATACAAGGATTTCAGCATATCGCGTATGGATCCAATCCATAATTGCAAAGATAAAATGATTTTGCTTTGAAAAGTGCTTAACAATTGTTTTTTTTTTTGAGTTTTGAAATGTTCAATAAACAAAAGCCAAATGCATGATCACTGGAATTCATCCAAGTATCCTAATGTGTATACTAGGATTTCAGAAGATCGCCAGTGGATTTAGTGTAATTAGAAATTTTAGGATATTTTGTGAAAAATAAAATGGATAAATGCTTTCCTTCAATTCTTTAACAAACATTCTTGCAATAAAATTATCAAATGGCAAACAGCAATCAGTCAAAGTGTTTTTATTCTCCCAGCCAATTGCTTGTTTAAAATATATAGGCAGGTCACTCGTTGGCCCCATAAGTAATATAATAAACTTTCAATATATGTGTGAGGAAAAATATAGGTCTAAAATATTTTTTTTATCTTAAATCTTTTGTTACTTTAAAAACAAAATAGCAGAGCAATACCTAGAGGTATATGTCACCAAGATACTCAATTAGGAATGATGTATTGG